TTCGGTTTCCACTGGGGTAATGGCCTGGCGCGTATTTTCATTCGACGGTTTCCTTAGCGTGTGTTCGATCCATCTCCATTTTTTCCACATATTTGTTGAGCAGTAGGTTCTTCGCTGGTTTGTTCCTTGTTGCTAATTCTTTCTGACCATCTGGTCTTCAATACGGAGGTAACGAAGGGAACTGTTGATAAAAGTCTGTAACCGGTTGTTGGAAATGCTTTTCATGACGCTTCAAGTTTCCGAACCATATACAAGAACTGACTTGACTTTGGTATCGAAAACCCGAATTTTATTCTTTGTTCTGAGTGCAGAAAATTTGAAGACTTATTTCAGAGGGATGGTGTAGCTTACCTTTCCTATTCTGGATGGTTTTCATATCCTAATCCGTGATGCCTGTAACCGAAGGAACTGACCTCTTTCAAATTTATTCCGTTCATAGTGATTGGTTCTAGTTGTTGGTTGGTTGTCTTCATCACCTCCGTCTTCTCTGTGTTCACCTGCAGTCCTTTCTTCTATGTCAGCCTCTTCAGCCAGTTTGTTGGTTTTCGCCTGTAAGTCTTCGAGTTTGTGTGACATCAGACACAAATCATCCACACGCGAAATCTAGATCTTCTAGAGTCTTCTTATCGGTGATCCAGCATATTCCTGACTCCTCGCTCCTTGGATACAGTCTGACGCATAATCCAGTCCACCACAATTAAGAATATCATCGGTGATAATAGACAGCCCTGTCTTACCCCTGTATTCACTTCAACAGAAGGCCTCGCTGAGTTTTCCGCTGTGGATCACCTGACACATGGCATTGTCATATAGCTGTTGAACGAGGTTGATAAAGATTTGGGGTACACCACAGTTGTTGAAGCGGCTTGAGAATCACTTCGCTGTCAACGATGTCAAAGGCCTTTTCGAAGCCGATGAAGTTGAAGTAGAAGTTAGACTGCCATTCTATGCCATGTTCGATGATGAAAAGTAGAGTAGCTATTTGATCTGAACATGATCTGCTTTTCCTGAATAGAGGTTGTTCCGGTCAGAGTTCTCCATCTAGTGCCTCCTTTGTTCTTTCCGGGATGAAACAAGCATAATTCTGAGCCAGTTTTGCAGAGATCTAAGTCTTCCTTCTTTGGTAGAAAAGATATATACATGGGTAGGCGGGTAGGTAGTTGTTTACAAAGGTTATTTCGTATTAGTAAATTATATTTTTGCCGAAAACCAGGAAACGTTATTCATTACAACCTTATACTATTAGACAATAGTGTTGAAATCTAATAAACTTCATCATAAATAGAAGTGCATTGAAGTCATTATAAACTAAACACTTTTACTGATTGTCATTGGTAGTCATAAATGACTTGTAGGCAATTCAAACTCCAAATCGTCATCACTGTTCACTGAGAGCCAAGCTTACCAACAGCCTACTCGGATTAAATCAGTTCAGAGAAAAAAATCACATTTCGCCTGCCTACGCAAGTTGATTAATCAAATGAAATGGTTACGTCAAAATTGAGATTACACTAAGATTTCTATTATAAATGAAGAGGGTTCAGATTACAATGATTCAGCTGGCAAGCACTATCAGTTGCTGTATACGATTCCCAATCGTTTATAGCAGTAAATTACACATACTAAGCAAGAAGTTTAGAATTGTTTCCTGAACTCTTAGATGTCTACTGTGAATATCCTAGATACTGGTATGCTTACTTCACTATAGTGATACAGTAAGTCATTTGATAGCGAGTAGACGGAAACCAGTCTGGACAAATTTCACTGTCGGGACGAGGGGGAGTATTTATTATAATGTGACTGGACTACCTTGAAGGCTGAATTTATGGATTAATTTTCCGAAGTGGATTATATTTCTACATAATGTTCTCACCGACTAGAGATATGGTGAGAGACGTCTAGAAGCACAAATTGTAGACAACAGTTTACGTCAATGTTTACGTCCCGAATCGGAGTTATGAGAAAAACAATAACAAAGCTTAACCTTGAAGAACTCACTAGCCAATCACAGCAGACTTAACGTGTGAAAATACGATTCCCAGATATATGGCTTAACTTTCTGAGAAACGGTCACAAAGAGATGACAGAATAACTATCAGCAAGAAAACAACCAATCAGAAGACACTACTTCTCTGCTAACAATAACGCTATTAACAATGTACATAACAATCGATAAATATTTGTTGATTTTCTCAATAAACGATCTGTTGCCTGGCCCTTGTCGTCTGTAGTTACAGAACAACTCTATGTCTTCTATCTTTATATTGTTAAGTATGCTAATGACATGACCGTTTTTAATACCCATTACTTCTCAGTCAAACTGTTCCAAAATGAATAACGTTTTACCAGAAATTAGTCAATGGTCCTTGTCAAACGATCTTAAGCTTAATCCCTCCAAATTTCAGGTAGTTAATTTCACTTTCAGATACAAGCGTGACTTACATGAGCTGGTTGGTTCTCATGGTTCCACTCTCATGGATGGCAGTGAATTTGAAGCTAAACCAAATTTTGAATACCTTGGACTCCTCTGATCTTTCCTGGGCCATGAGAAGGACACTAGAAGCTGTCAGTAGGGCGGGTAGTGTTTCGCTTAACCAACTTTCTAATACTATTGTAGATAGACACTGGACTCCCGTAAGAATTTGGCGAATAATATCTAGTCATACTCTGAGCATCCTCTCTACACACAACTCACTCATTGCATCTGTCTCATCAGGTAGAGGAACTAGAAGCAACTATAGAAGATTATATGCTCGGAAAACTAAGTACAGAAACTCTACAATGCCCTATTTAGCATACATTTTATGTGATGAGAAAAGTGTAAGACAGGGAATAACCAAACTACTGCAGAACTCCACGTAAACGGTCCTATTTTTTCATTCTTACTGAACAATATTACCAACTTAAATGTCCTATTTTAAACTGTTACCTTTGTAATGAGAAAATTAGATGCAATACTGTAATACATATTGTAAATCACTTGTAAATGACTTGTAAATGAATAACATAATTTTAGGCTCTTTTATTTCTCTCTTATTTTTTATTCTATAGCGAACTCCTTCTTAAACATACTTAGCTACCTAAATTATTAACATTGGCTTACTTTTTGTACTTTACTCTATTCCTTCTTTTGTGTACCTACTGGTTTCGACTATATTAGCACTATGAGTATTACAAAATTGTCCTGTCATTAACCATCATGCAATATTAGTTTTGTGGTTGTTGTTTTTTTCGGCAATATTAACTGACGAGCTTGATTGTGAACGCCTTTATCACCATCTTAAAATTTTGTATTATGCAGGATTACTCACACTACCACTACAAACACTGCATTAGACCTGACAATAAAAAACAAAACAACAACCCTGAAATGTTATTTTATGATTGTTTAGTGTTGTTTCAACGAAATTAACTGATCATCTTGGCGATAAACATTCTTAAATATCACTTCATAACTTCTTGTATGACTATAGCTTTACTGTCACCATGCATAATCATATCATAGCTTCCACTACCCTATACTGAATTACTATTATATGCTGTTTATTTTCCATCCTACTTCTTGGTATTTTTTCGTATTTTTTAAAATTATTTTTGTGTTTTTATTGTTGTTGTCTCTATATTTATTTTTTGAAATACTCCTTTTAAACGTTGGATAAAATTCGATGCAAATATTGTAGATATGTGCTGAAAATTCCACACTGTACCACTAGTACTGTTTCTGGAATAAAGCAAATTATTATTATTATTAAATTACATATTTATACCGAAATACTCTTTGGAGTAAAGCTAGTATTAGCATTTATTTATTTATGTGGAGTCTGGTAGTCATGAGGGATTAAAAATTAGTGTTGCTATTTGATCCTTAGAAGAGTTACTTATTGCTTTCCCGTAATCTAACCTTAGTCGCAGCACTGTGTTATTACTGCCGATCATATCAACCCATGTCGAATTTTGGCAACCTTGACAAACCTACACAGAAGATTATCTTTACTGGATATAAAAAAATCCTTAAGGTTAAAAAAATCAGTACTTTAATTACTGAGAGACACTTTATAATAACTGCGAAGTAAAAAAGAATAAGATTGGTTATAGGATTTCATCATGGTCTGACATCGGTTAGAGAACCATTGAAAAACCTGTAGGGAGTATTGGATAACTGCTTCGTCCTAGTTTGGGACTCTTCGTCGGGAGGTACCCAGGGCCTTCTTGTTACAAGGCAAGATCGTAGACCATTGAGCCACTGGGACCCGATCCAATGGCCCATGAATTCGCAGAAGCTGTCCAGTACTCCCTGCAGGTTTTCCAATGGTTATCTAACCGATATCAGACCATGATGAAATCCTGTAAGCAATCAATCAAATCCCTACAAACCAATATTTGAAAAAAATAAGATTAATTAAGAAGAGTTTGTTTGTTGGGATTTTATTTGTTTCAGTTTTGATCACGGATTGATATCAGTTAGAGAACCACTGAAAACCATCAGGGAGTAGTGGACAGGTGTTTCGTTTTAGTCTAGGATCAGATCAATTTGATGCTCACTAGTGGCTGATTTTACAGGACGAAGTTACCTGGACTTATAGTGAGAAGTCTTGATCAGTCGGGTCTGTGAGGTCGGGGGTGAGAACAAATACTCGCCGATGACATTGGCTGGTTGGTGGTCGCGTTAAAATCCCGAATTGCTAGAAGTTAGAATTCATGGGTTGACCATTGAATCGGATCCCGATGGCTGAATGGTTTACGAGTTCGGCTTGTAATCAGGTGTTAGGCACGTACTGCGGATGGGCCCCAAACTACGACGGAACAGTTGTTCAATATTCCCTGGTGGTTTTCAATAGTACCCTATCTGATATCAATCCGTTATCAAACTGGAAACAATAAGACTAAGAGAAAAATTTATTGTTAGCTAACATTAAATAAGACATACATCAGTGAAACAAACTGACGAATATCTAAAACGTTAATATCATAGAGTTAAAAAAGAAATAGGAATAACTTACTCATGGCTAACGATTTCGTAATAATGTTCACTATTGATATAATTGCACCGCAAGCATTCTACGTAACAAAATACAACAAAAGAAAACAAGCAAATACATAGATAGAGTTACTAAGTCAAACAGGAAAGTAAGTGTATAAAAGAAACAGTCAAGTAAGAATTATACTTAATTCATCAAATTCCAGTCGTCGTGTGTAAATCCAAATGTAACAACGCTCAACTTTTGTACATATTTGGAATGTCAGTGAAGTGGTTTCACCGCCTGACTCTTTTAGAATTACTTCACCAAATTTAAGTGACACTTAAACATTGGTTACAGGTTGGATAACGAGGTGACATCAGTTAGAGGACCATTGGAAAGCCTGCAGAGATTATTGGACAGCTATTTCCTCCTAGTTTGGGACTCCTCATCAGCATGCACCCACCGACTGGGATACGAACCCAGGATCTTCGACTCATAAGGCGAGCCACTGCGACCCGATCAAATGGCCGGTGAATCTTAACTTCTGGCAAACAGTAATACACCTAGCGAAATCGTCAATCAATGTCACAGGCGAGTAACTGTCCTCTTATCAAGCTTGGTGGACTCCGCTGCTTACGACTTCTCACCCTTTTTTATTTCTTTACGTTCCCAGTGGAACATAGGGCTTCAAGCTTCTTGGGTTTTGAAGTTTCGATAACAGTGGTATTTATTTTTACGGGATGGGGTTGCTAGCCTCAAGCCCAACCTCCCCTCTTTACCAGTCTTAGTGAGGTAAGGGAGTGCGTCGGCTGGGAATCGAACCTCAAACCACGTGAGGCGTGGCTAGCGAGCATTCTACTGCTGAGCCACCAATGACCTCACAATGGAAGCCTATAACCAATCAAATCTCTGCAAAATCAACACTTGATACTTAAATATTGAACGATGTGATAAGAAAATCCCCACTTCCTGATGAGATTGAACACCAGGCAGCTTTATGAGTCTTGTAGTATACAATCATGTATATTTTAGTGCAAACACTACCAAATATATATTTATGTACATGTATGCATATACGTAATCACTTACGTCATTCGAATTACTAATATGCCGTTTATTAGAATATTAAACTACAAAGGCGTGAGCTTCATACGTAATTAACTACTATAATTGCTAAAAAGTTATAATGACGTTGGTATCAATTGAGTCTCGATTGTCCAAAACTGGTTTACAGCCAATGCGCCAAGTGAGATAATAAACGCAAGTCTACAGAATTGAAACTACTGTTTGATGTGACATTGAGATGTTTATCTTAAATAAACATAGCACAGTAGGATATATATATATATATATATATATATATATATATATATATACAAAGAAGTTAGTCGAGAGTCTAGTAGCTTATTAATAGTTACAATCCATTTGGTTTTAAAAGACATAACCAGCTGACGCATAAGCAAAGTTAGGCATTAGAAAAATTCGCAATCTAGTTGACTAATAAATAAGAATCATCATCTACATGAACATTATTTTTTTTATTTTGATTACAGCTTGATGCCACACCGTGTTTTTGGTACAGGTATGGAATTTTCAGCATGTGACATCGGTAGCCCAAATTTTGCAGGCCGACCATAGATATCGGGTGTGCGCCGACAGGGGACCGAACCCCGGACCATGTGCATGGTCGGCGAGAGTCCTAACCACTGTGCCACCGACGTATGCATAAGTTATACATGTTTTTACAGGTACTTAAAACTCTTTTTCAAACAATTTATACTTGAAAGCACATGTCAGTGTTGGTGAACAGTGAGTCGTTTGTTTTTTCATCAAACTGGTCTCCGTATTGGCGGGAGACAAGAAGGCTGTTACTGCTTAATCGTGTACTGGTTGGCAGAAGATTGAAGAAATACGATCAGAAGTATTGCTGTACATTATATTGATGTTTATTTACAGACTTTGGCATTGATTAACCATTGTAGGTATGTTTCATTATCGCTTGCGGAATAAACAATGGTGTTGCTCAACTGTTTCCGGTTGTTCTACGTCGGTTACAGTGCATAGTGTTCTGCATAGTAAACCTAGTGTTCTGAAACCAGCGATAGGTCCAGGATCTCTGCGATCTGGACATTTGGCAGCACCTTTTTCCTATTGTCAAGAATTCTGTACCATACGTATTTAAAACAGTAACTTAGATAAACATAATGACTACTAAATGTCGAACAACAAATGATTCGGATGTCCTCAGAAAGTCAGGACAAGAAAAAGAAGAAGCAGAATTTCACACAGAATTAGTGTATTCCCAAGAGGTAAACTAAAGCACAGACTGTTGAAAGACAGAGTTATTTTCCGAGATTACTGTCGTCAAGTAATTACACACGTTGAGAGTGAAAAAGTTAATTTCTCAATAATTAATTTATTTTCTATAGTTTGGTTTGTAAGGATTAGTTATGTTTTACGAGTTGATCACGGACTGATATCAGGTAGAGAACCATTGAAAACCAGGGAGTACTGGACAGCTGCTGTTTCATCCTAGTTTGGGAATCATCGGCAGTACGCACCCACTGGGATTCGAACCCAGGACCTTCCGGTTACAAGGCAAGCTCGTATACCATTCAGCCACTGGGACCCGATTCAATGGCTCATGAATTCTAACTTCTACCAATTCGTGATTTGAGCGCGACCCCAACTATTGTCGTTGGTGGAAATCCATCCACACGTGACTTCTAATTGGACCTCACTGGTCACGACTTCTCACTAGAACTGCAGGAAGCTCCAGTCTGTCTGTCTGGATTCAACATAGAACTTAGCACCGAAGTGCAGCAGTTCGAGTTCGAGCAGTTGCAGGAAGCTCCAACCTGTAGCAAGTCACTAGCGAGCATCAGAAGTTAGAATTCATGAGCCATTGAATCGGGTCCCAGTGGCTGAATGGTATACGAGCTTGCCTTGTAACCGGAAGGTCCTGGGTTCGAATCCCAGTGGGTGCGTACTGCCGATGATTCCCAAACTAGGATGAAACAGCAGCTGTCCAGTACTCCCTGGTTTTCAATGGTTCTCTAACTGATATCAGTCCGTGATCAACTCGTAAAATTAATTTATTCGAAATCTTCACGATAGCACTTTTGCGATAACCAAATCAGATTACTATAAACAGTGTGCATTTGAATTAGTATTTTAAGACTTCACTTCACTCGTATTTTATATCATAGTGAGCAATGATTTATTTCAGTTCGTCTTCCTCTTTTCTGTTTGACTCGTGAGCGCCTTAAACCTGTTGCCTTTTGTGATATTAACAACAGAGATGGACAATCTTAATGCTACAGTGCTTAACATATGGTCAGACATTACTATTTTGCAGATTTTGGACATCTATCGAACTTCATTTAACTACGCTGTTTTATATTTTAGTTCATTTTCTGTTTTGTTCTGAATGTTTTGAAGTAAGATTATTTGAAATGACTGTGATTCGTTTGTTCCTCACTTGACCATAAACCTCAATTTCGTGTACCAAAATATGACATTACAAAGAATTTCAAAGTGAAGAAGTTAGCTTGCGGTATAAACAGATAGTCATTAGACTGATATTCGATTCTCAGAATAATAGAATACTACTAGCCTGATACGAACGAGGATGAGTACTGTAACGACAGAAAACAAGGCACAGGCAACGGATTGTTTATTGAAAAAATCAAGAGATATTCAAAGATTTTTTAAATACGTTATTGTTAGCGGAGAAGCAACGTCTTCTCATTGGTTGTCTTCTTGCTGAAGGTTATTCTGTACTGCTTGTGACCGTTTCTCAGAAAGTTAAGTCATATACCTGCGAATCGTATTTGCACACGTTAAGTCTGATGTGATTGGTCGGTGAGTTCTTCAAGGCTAAGCTTTTTTTCTCATGATCCCGATTCGGGACGTGAACACTGACGTAAATTGTTGTCTACAATTTCGTCTAGCAGACAGCTCTCAGCACAGAAGACTTCAGCTTTCTTCTCAGAATGCTCTCATGTGGCAACGCGTTTGTAACCTATGAGTGGTCAATCTTATTCACCACCCTCAAGTGGCAGGGATGTTTCTCACAAAAGTAAAAGGGCAAATGTGAACATCTGGCTTTTTCAACCGTACTGGTAGATACCCAGGTATACCCAGGGAAGCTGGAAAACCATTATTCCAAACCTATGGTGTACATGGACTGCAGAATCCAAAAGGATCAAATGGTGTATGAACCTCTTTCAGTCATGGAAAACCATAGGAAAGTGACACCTGATGCTACTCCAGTGCTTTGTGAATCAGAATTAAAGTCTTAGGCTCAGACGGTGGCCACTTAAGACAACCACCTGCTTCAGTCTGGATATCCCAGCAGTACCTCAGCCCTCGCAGAAACTATGACGTTTCGTGCGGTGCATCTCTTAGTGCCCATAATGTACCAAGTTTGTATTTTAGTAAAATAAACACTTTCACCCTAAAATTGACATCTGAGATTTAACATCAAAACAAAAGTGGACTACAGCAATATAACTCGGTGTTCATGATTCAGGCTGATCTGGTCAACATCAAACTATGAGTGTATCAAACTACCAAAATGAAATTTTTTTTCTATTATGCAATGCATTTAGGCAAAACAGCAACAACAAGAATTATATTTTTATATAAATTTGTTATTGGAAAATTTCGTTTTTTATTTTATTTATGAGTGCTAGATTTCGTACTGAAGCATTATAAATCAAATATTAACTCCTGAATTTAACCAAATTTCAGATAACTAAATAAATGGATTATACATAGGTATGAAAAGTAAGACAGACCTTTATGACTCCGAAAACAGTGTTGGGATCTACTGTACTCAGCATGAACAGCAAAGTCTGAATTCCCAACACTAAATATAGTTCAAAGGACTTAGTGCACGCGCCACTAAAAGCATTTCCAAAAACCCTCTGGCAACTTTCATCAACAGATGCCTTCATTCCATACCGAAGATCAGATAGCCGGTCGGAAAGGATATACAAAAAGAAACCCTGGGAACATATCAACCAAGAAATTATTGCTCAATAATTATCCATAAAGAAATGGAGGTGGACTAGACATACGCTGAGGAGACCGTTGAGAGATATCATGGGTCAGGTCTTCAAGTGGAATTCAGATGGTAAACGATGTGTTCGGCATATATGCATGGGGGACATGGAGGAAATCATGAGAGGAAGAAATTGTTATATACACGGAATTTTGCCTAAAACCTTAAAATAACTATTTAACGAGTTATCGCGCACTGGCGTGAACCCTTTGTTTTTCCCTCTGTTTGGATTGCTGGATTTTTATTGGCTGTTAATACTTTTAATGCATCACTGAATTACTGGATTTTTAAGGTCATTCCAACAAAATATATATATACCGAGTTGCTGTCTAGTATTTTGACTGTTGTTTCAGGCAGTAAAAGCTCTTATATCGATGTCCCCTCTTTTCTTTTGTCCTTGCGTACCGGCGGTGTTATTGATGTCATTGCTGACGTGTGATTAGGACAAATTAGCCAGCGCATTAAGTTAATATTCGCTCATAGTCAACTAGTTCGTAGTTCCTGTCATAAGAGAAATGAAAGCTTATGGGTGATCGTGGAGCCAGCTAAAAAAGACTGCAAACAACGGAATGAAAAGGTGATGTGTTGCTGAAGCCCCGTGCCATTAGGAAATAATAATAAATAGGTGGATTATTTTATAGAAACGCCTTAAAATTATTTGACCGCCACACAGATGTCAGTCCTTGATAAATTTTCTCGTGGAGGATATGTATAACGCAGGATCACGATGTTCTAGTTAAAACATTCTCCAATCTACTTTCATTTTGACGGAAAATATTTTTTTTTAGAAAATTAGTGGGTTCCTACTTTTGAACAATTAATATTTAAAAGTGACCGCATAAAAAACCAATTATTGTCACTCATAGCACACATATTTAAATTATTGTCATAAAAGATATAAGAAAATACAGTACTTACAGATCCGACAATAACAGCATTTGAATACTTCATAGGGAGTCCTGCTGCTATCCCAAAGGTTAACGTTTGATGAACTCCCACACAAGCTGTGTTATCAAGACAAAAGTAAAAATGCATAGAAAAGCAAACAGTTACATATCATATAAGTGTTTTAGCGAAGTTATATACACCTCATCTTCCAAGCACCGTTTGCACAGATCTTTCGTGTTGTGGTACTTCTGGCTTGCCTTCATATTGTGTGTTTATTTGTGTTCCTTTCACGTCTTCCATGCATTTCCGAAACGCGGAATCATATGCTTTCCCTGACATCAAATCTCTCTCTCTGATATCTAATATTTCTATGCCGGAAAACGTCTCTTTGTATACTACTGATAAATCTTACCAGTAGCACATATTACATTGTAAGTAAATGCTGTTGGTGGCATAGCGGTTAAGACGCTCGCTGACCATGCACATGGTCCGGGGTTCGATCCCCAGCCGACGCACTCCTTTACCTCACTAAGTCAGACATAAAGCTGGTAAAGAGGAAAGGTTGGGTATGAGGCTAGCAACCCCACCCTGTAAAATAAACACTGCTACAGAAACTTCAAGCCACTAGCTTGAAGCCCTATGTTCCACTGGGGAACGTGAAGGAAAAAAGAAAAAAATATATATATTGTACTCTTGGTGCGTGATAACACAGTTTATAGCCCTAATGGCAAACAGTTGTATAAAAGCTTCAGATAAACGAGTAAATAGTAATTCTGAAAAACCATTATAGTTCAAAACTTACTAAGTAAAATAAAGAAGGACGCATTTTAGTTACTTTTAGATGCTGTAGCTAATGCATGAGTCTGTCATTTGCAGGTCAATCGCAAGCCCGAATAGCCCAGTGGTAACGTCTCTGACTGCAACACTGGGTGACGCGGGTTTGAATCTCAGAAGAGACATGAGTTCCTTCAGGGTGACTGCAGATACGCCTTGCTGACGAGTGAAAACTAGCATGGAACCTAGATCCAAGGCTTCCTGCAGATTGCCTGGAGGTTTGCTAATTTTAATAACATGAAGATAAGTCAGTCATATGTAATCACCAACATCTTGAAAAAATGTCTGTGTACTCAGCTCATTAATTCAGTAAGTTGGAACAACAGTCAATCATCAAAAAGGCGTCTGCAGTTGAACAAAGCAATTTTACAATGTCTCTTATGTGACATTTACATTTATTTCACATAGCTCTGAGGCATTTAACTGTTTCCTCTTCTTCAAAATAAGGTTTAGGAAACGTCATTGTATTACAGAAGTATGATATATTTTGTCGTCGAATTGGAATAGAAATCTATTTAGCAGTTATGCTCCTTAGTCATTTAAGTAAACTTCATAAAAGGTCTCAAAAACGTAGTGGTCTATTTGAATTTGTACTTTAGTCATATATATATATATATATATATATATATATATATATATGCCTGCTATCAGGGTTTCCAAGACGAACGAATATAAGGAAGTTTCCGAAAATCCTCTTGGTGGCGACTCTAGTTGCAACAGCAGAACTGAAGGGTATTCTGCGACGGAACTGTTTATTTGGTAAAATACAGAAACCTTACATTGAGATTTCAGTTTGTAAATGCTGTTCACGTATTTAGCTTGTTTTGTCCTACTGTCATGCTCTCTTTATTATTTCACTAGAATCTTTCATTTCTCCTCTTTGCAACTTAATCTATCGCTTCGCTACTCAAGGTTCTTGTAGAACATACCACACACACACACACAATATGCTAAATGCAAATCCTCGTCAGTAACAAATGCGTCGGTAGTTCAGTGGTAGAATGCTTTCCAACCACATAGATGGTCCGGAGCTCGATCCTCCGTCGATGCACTGCTAAACTTTACCCTGCAGTGAGGGCAGGAAAAAACGAAAGATTTGGGAGTGAGGCCAGCAACCCCACCCCTCAGAAAATTACCACCACACCCACTTAAATTTCAAAGCTATGTGTTCCACTCGGAAGTCAAAGGAATTAGAAAGAATACGCACCACACTAGTAGTTTGGTGACAGAATAATACATTATTTTCTGTCTAAAGCTGTCTTTACTTATTTTCAGCATGAAAAACATATTATTAGCCCGATACATGATGAACCATTATATTCGGCCAATGAATTCTATTCGTTTAATCTCTAATTTATGCAGTTTTAGCTGATAAATGGTCAGGCTGAAAAAGGGCTAGCTGCGGTCGAACCAATACATGGCTTCACCAGTCAATGAAATCTACAACAGTTAGTCTAAGCCACGAAGGTAGGTGTAGACTTCCCGGTTGTGGTCCTCGGGACGGTAAAAACCAATGGCTGGAAAAAATTGGTGACATGGCCGGCTCAAAATCGTTCTCAATGGCTGGCGCAGATGCATCCACTCCTTGTGACTTATAATACCCAATGAAACTGTTCTGTTCTTCGTTATTACTAATCCTTTTGTCTCACACCTCTGTTTGCTGTCTATATTATGCATTTCTCCTACTTCCTTCTCTTGCTTTGTGTGCTACAATGGAGTGTGGCGACTTGAACTGACGCACATATGTGCAAAGTTATATGTCGAAAACAGACAGAGAGAATTTATGCAAAATTCTAAGTGTTCTAATAACAGAAATTATAAAGCCATAAGAAAATGCAAATCACATATGAATTATTTGTCTATAAGGTATAGTAAATTTAATTCAGCGAGAAATAAGTATTTCCTTTATTATATCCACTGGACTGCAAGATTTAGACTTATCCATCTTCCTTTAAGCAGCATTAGTAGTCAACAAATAATCTGAATTCTTAGTTTGTTTTCACAATTTGGCAAAACACAGAAAATAATTTTACTATTCAATTGTATTAAATTAACCAAAAAATAATAATAATAATTTATCATAAGAGAAAGCTAGTTACGTGTGGTAAATTAATCAAGTATGAAAAATGAGAGGCTAATGCCAAGTCTTTGACGTGTATAAGAATCAAAGACAAAACTATGAGTCGAAAAAGACAGATCGTGTGAATAACGCACAAGATAGGTATGCAAATGAAAGATAATAATAAATTGGCAATGGTTATAGGTTTGATAGCGAGTTGACATCAGTAAGAGAACCATTAGAGAGCCTGCAGGAAGAACTGGACAGCTGTTTCCTCCTAGTCTGGGACTCTTCATCAGTGAGTACCAAAGTTCGAACCCACAACCTTCCGGTTATTAGACGAGCTCATATAACATTGAGCCACTGGGATCAGATCCAATGGCTCACGAATTCTAACTTCTGCTGATTCGTAATATATATATAGCGCAACCGTCAACCAGTGTCATAAGTGAGTAACTGATCTCTTACCTAACTTGTAACAAGAAGGTCATGGGTCCGAATCATAGTGGGTGCACACTGATGAAGAGTTCCAAACTAGGATGAAACAGTTGTCTAGTAATCCCTGAAGGTTGTCCAGTGGTTATCTAACTTTGGTTAACTTGTTATCAAACCTGTAACCAATCAAATCCCTGCAAACCAACACTTGATAATAAATCAATACTGAACAGTGTTACCATCAAGGTTTGCATTTATAAATAAAGGGTTTTAGAACAGTAAGAAATTGTTGAATACTATGTGTTTGTTTGGCTTAATATGTTATATAATATATTTACGTGTTTAATCATTTTAAGTAGACAGCTGTCGATAGCTCTCCACGTTATCAACAATCATATCGGGACCTCGAAAATAACGAACGAATCAAAAATTTCAGTTCCTCTTTAAAACAGGTTCTTTGAAATTAAATATCTGATCATAATAGATGGTTGGAGGCAATCAGCAGGAAGCCTTGCTAGTTGGCACCTGTCAGCAAGACGTAGCTGCAACTTTGAGGGAACTTATGTCCCTCCTGAGATTCGAACCCACATCACCTAGTGCTTCAGTCAGAGACCATATTACAAAGCTGACTCATAGAATTCAGTCTGCACCGAAGAAAGGACTAGACACATTACACTAGCTACTAGTGTCCAAACTACCTATCTGATCTTTGATCATAACAAAACTTTAACAAATAAGTTGACTGAGTGTCCAAGAACTAGCCCACTTGGTTCCATATTTACTATTTATCTTATCGAAACATTTTTTTTCGGAAAACCTGTTATCACTTCTATAAAAAGCGAATAGACGATAAACTTATCATTTGTGATGCAAACAGTAATTTTTAAATCGTACTTTGAAGGTGTCACAACCACTGTCAGTCAATTAATTCGAATTCAGTATTTTAATTTCTACACATTGAGTAATTCGCTTCGAAAAACGATCTATTTGAAGCCTAAATGGAATAACTTCATTGAAGAAAGATGTGTTTCTCTCCACAGAACTATCTTTTAGTTTAGAATTCTACATAAAAATTATATAGTTTACAGCAAATTACATTCGGCATTATTTTTGCTACTTCAACAATTTATATGTGGGAGATTTAAAAAAATACTGTATTACAATCTGCATTAAATTCCATGCTAATTTCTGTTAAAGAACTATTGAGGTTAAGGTGTAATTAATGACTATTTCGTTCTAGTTTTGAACTCTTCGACATTGTTCACTTCTGAGTCCACCATGGTTTAAACAAAGAACTTCCGGGTTATAAGTCCATTGGTCGATCAACCACTGAGACAGAATCCGATAGCCTATATCAATTCCAACTTTTTCTGAATAGTACTACATTAGGACGAAAATACTGTCCACTACTCCCTTGTTTTCAATGATTCTTGTCATCTAAATTGAAATCAAGCCAATACTTGAAAACCAACACTTGTGTTGGAATAGTTAGTTTTATGAATTTGGTAAATATTTTAAAAGATGCTTAATCTTGTTGCTCTAGCTAGTTCGCGTAAACTGATGAATTATATGGAGATGAATTAACCGTGATCTGGATAATTTGAAAATTAGTGTCAAAGACTTCAGTAACAAGAAACACAAACTTCATTGGTGAAGGTACAACTCAGTAGCTGAAGATCGCAGATATACCATGTTAATTAACGTCATGAAACACTAGAAGTGGCGCTTGAAACTATGAATGCAGAATCCAAGTCTTAGTGAGAACACCACCACCCGCTAGCAAACAAT